AACAGCGAAGGATCTGGGATATCAAGGAGCTTGATGACAAGATGGGATAAACTCGAGAGACTGGGTATGGTGGAACCGATACTTGGGGGCGTTATGGGGAATCTTATCACGATGGTTGCATGCAAAAGGCGTTTATAGAAGGATCATCTTCGCCTGAAAGAGGCTTGGATCTATTCTCGATACGGACATTATATTTTACATTCCAACTCCCTCTGAACGCCGATGCTATTCCCCTGTCATGCCATGCATATCCCGTCTAGCATGCATCGGACCGTTTACTCCGGTGGTGCACCACTTCCCTCGCCTGCCGGTCGGCTAGTAAGAACAGCCTCTCCACCTGCCTGCGGGCCTGAGGGAGCTGGCTGTCCACCAACACCACCAGCTCTTGGTTGTCTCCGGCTAGTTGCCTCATCCTGCTTCTCGTTGTTGATGTTCTCAACGTATTTCTCAATATCCTCCACCTTGAGCATCTCAAGGGGCTTGCCTGGCTCCATGATGGCGATCTCGATGTTCTTAGCGCCGGTCTGTACAACCTCAAGCAGAGACTTGACAGTCAACTTGATTGTCTCTTCTCTGTCCATGCCAGGCTTGTGGTTGCGCTCCAGGAACTCACGGACGGTCTTCGATGAACGGCCGATAGCGTTTGCTTTCCTGTATTGACAAAATTAGTCATGCTGCAAGGTCACCTCGAATATAGGCTCGTGTGAACGTACCATGCTGAATAGATACCGCTGGGCTCAGTCTGATAGAGTCTCGCCTCCTTACTGTTCGGGTCAAATCCAACCACCAGGGTGCTGATTCCGAATGGCCTCACACCACCAGACTGTGTGTACCGCTGTTGGACTCCTGCGATGTACTTGGTGATGTATTCTATCGATACTGGATCCTCCACAGTCAATCTGTGACTCTGAGCTTCTAAGCGGGCCTTGTCGACAAGGATACGTGCATCGGCATTGAGACCAGCGAAGGCGAGGCAGACATGGGTGTCGACGAGGGAGATCTTGGAGGGCGTGATTCTTGTGTCTTGGAGCTTCATAGCGCTGCGCTTCTCACAACCTAGAACAACGATGCCTTCACCCTTGACACCGACGGCGCAAGTACCTGAGCGACGTCAGCGTTGTAATCATTCAGGTTGCTCAAGGTGTTGCACCTCTCTTGACAGCCTCCAAGGCATACTCGACTTGGAAGACGTGTCCATCAGGACTGAAGACTTCGGACAGGTTAGCCTAGACTCTGCGATCGACCTGTACTTCCCGTACCTGAGAGAGCGCGATCATAACCGCTAGCCATCTTATACTGCTGTGATGTAGACTCTGATTGATTCCTGGTTTATTCTGGGATAGCAAACCGTTTGCTCGGGCGTTTCGTGTAAGCTTGTACAAAGAGTGTTGGTGATGAGGCGGTGATGGGCGAATGCGTTTGGTGTGTAGTAGCTGTCCTGGAGCTTCGCGTACTGCTTGACGCCTTGGAGCGGAAGTGCAAGCGCGGGTCTTGGCAAACGGCAACCTTAATGACGTCCCGAGATGCACGGTAAAAGAAGCAAGAGTGGAAAGTGGGGATACATCTATATACGATTGAAGCGCCTGCACCTCTTTACGCCTCTGTATAGTTATCCGAGAGTCCAAGATGCAGTCGTTTACCCGCTGTATGCCCGCCGTGAGGCAGATTCGTCTTTCCAACACAGCTTTTCAAAGAGCTGCAATCCGCCGACCTGCCGCATCTCAGATCCTAGCGCAAAGAAGATGGCAGAGCTCAGAAGCTACGACCTCTGCGACACATGAAGGAAACCATGAGCACTCGGGAGAAGGACCACCAGCGAGCAAGCCTGCCATCAAGTACACCTCCGAGACATACCCAGAACTTAAGAGGGATTCGAAGTTCGCAGAGCTCACACCAGAGCATGTGAAGTGGTTTAGAGAGACATTGGGTACCGACTCTGCTATCCTGGATGGAGTGAACCAAGATGCCGGTGATGATATGGAACCTTTCAATAGCGACTGGATGCGCAAGTACCGCGGTCACGCAAAGTTGGTGGTGAAGCCGGGAAATACAGAGGAGGTTAGCAAGATCCTGAAGTATTGCAACGACAACATGCTGGCAGTGGTGCCGCAGGGAGGAAATACTGGTCTGGTCGGTGGCAGTGTACCTGTGTTCGACGAGATCGTCATCAACCTCGCACGCATGAACCAGATCAGATCGTTCGATGATGTATCGGGTATTCTGGTCGCAGATGGTGGTGTCATCCTCGAGGTCGCAGACAACTTCTTGGCGGAGAAGAACCACATTTTCCCACTGGACTTGGGTGCAAAGGGATCTTGCCAGATTGGTGGAAACGTCGCCACTAACGCTGGAGGTCTTCGGTTGCTCAGATACGGTAGCTTGCACGGAAATGTCCTCGGACTTGAGGCTGTCCTTCCGGACGGAACTATTGTTGACGACCTCTGCAAGCTCCGTAAGAACAACACTGGCTACGATATCAAGCAGCTGTTCATCGGTGGTGAGGGCACTATCGGCATCATCACCGGTATCTCCATCCTTTGCCCACAACGCAGCAACGCCTTGAATGTCGCCTACTTCGGCCTTGAGTCGTTTGAGAAGGTCCAGGAAGCTTTCCGCGAAGCCAAGAACCAATTAGGCGAGATTCTCTCCGCTTTCGAACTTATGGACGGTCGCAGTCAGAAGCTTTACAACACCGCCAGCGGTAACAGACTGCCACTGGAGGGTGAGCACCCGTTCTACTGCTTGATCGAGACTAGCGGAAGCAACACCGAGCATGACCAGGAGAAATTGGAGGCCTTCCTCGAGCACGTCATGGGTGAGGAGATTGTAAGCGATGGTGTTGTAGCACAGGACCAGACTCAGATCAAGGAGCTTTGGGGCTGCAGAGAGGGTGTGCCAGAGCATCTGGGTCACTGGGGTGGTGTCTACAAGTACGATCTATCGATCCCAATCGGCGAGATGTACTCGCTCGTTGAGGAGTGCCGTGAGCGTATGATGAAGGCCGGCCTACTTGGCGATTCTGAGGACAAGCCAGTCGTTGACGTTGTTGGTTACGGCCACATGGGTGACGCAAATCTGCACTTGAACGTTCCAGTAAGGCGGTACGACAAGGCTGTTGAGAAAGAGCTTGAGCCATGGGTGTATGAGTGGGTTCAGAAGAGACACGGCAGTATTAGTGCAGAGCATGGATTGGGTATTGCGAAGAAGCCTTTCATTGGCTACAGCAGGAGTGAGACTATGGTCAGGCTTTACAAGCAGATCAAGGATCTATACGATCCAGTAAGTACCTTTCCCTTCTTTGATGTTTTGGATGTTTACTTACGGCTACGCAGAACGGCATCATGAACCCATACAAGTACATCTAAAGGAGGAGTGTGGGACTACATCTGAATTTGAGCGATACAAAAATCGGCGTAATGGGAACAATCTGTACATGTAGGTATGTCTCGAGCTAGTCGCCAGAGCATACCATAAGCAGTTGCGGTCAGATAGCGATGGAAGATTGAAGGCTAGGATTTCAGAGTCCCTAAGAATAAGTACAAATTCTGAACAACTTGCATACGAGCAGGAGAACGTGCAACTCAAAACAGCTACATTACTGCTTTTGGTCTGAGAAGTATTCGAAGTGCGTCGCGATATTCAGTGTACTTGGGCGGTTGTTCATGTGAAGTGTCTTCATCTGCCAAGGTTTAACAGGCGTTCCTTCCTCTTGTGTCGAAGGGGCACTGACGAAAACCTCCATCACGAACGATCCATATCGTATAACATGTTACGGGATAGTGCGTTACATTGGCCTCGGCGAGACGCATCTTTTGAGCTCAAAAAAATCATTTCTCACAACGAGAAAAGCAGGTCGTTTGTGTTAGACAGGAGCGAGCCCTCTTTCACAGCTCGGTTCCTACATGTAGTCACTGTCCACCGTCTTCGGAATGGTGAAACACCTCACGCTAGGCCCCATCCAAAGATGATGGTGGCTCCGTGGACTCTCTCTGGACTTGCGACAATCTGTTGCACGAATTTGCAGGGTCTCCCTGCCTCTTTGGTTTACAATTGATCCAGTCGCGCATTGCGCGGTGCTGCGCACGTCCTGGTTCTGGCAGCTGGTCTACTTATCGTAACATCACCGACGTATTTTCCGATCCTTTCGAGAGGTCTATGTCACCAAAGACGTCTTCAGCGGCCCCTTCAGTCACTGCCAGTCCAGTTTCGTTGCCTTCCACTTCGCCATCAAGGGATCGAATGTCTACCTGCTCTCTCCTCCGCGATTCTCTATCTTCCAAGCTGAAACCGTCTCCTTGGTGCCATGCTCCCCTTTGCCACGGTCATGCACACCCGGCTTTGTGAGATATTGAGGACAGGTCTCCAAAATGCGACCACAACACCAGGATCAGTGACCTTTCTTTCCGACCAATTCCCTCAGCCAGCGAGTCGGACATGAGATTCAAAGGCCAACCAGATCAGAACGCAAGCTTTCTTTCCTCTTCCAAAATCGCATAACAGTTCACCTAGCAAATGCTAGAATGGTGGAACGAAGCATACATGGTGGGTCCTATACGTCTTCCTTGGATTCCTGAAAAAGCAAAAGGACTGGACATTGATCAATACCGGCTGCCATTATACTTTACGTATCTCCAATGGCAAAATCGCTTGCGGAGCCTGGTCCGACAAACACGTGGTGAGCACACGCTGTGTCGCGTGGTTCGGGAGTGGAGTGAATGCGGAAGCTCCCGCGCGCCAAGAATACCAGAATCCATGCCACAGCAAAGGAGTGGATGTCTGTTTAAGGTCACCACACAACAACCACGACCTCCTGAGGGATTCCGAATAGTGCAAAAGATGCGCCAGAAAGCATTCTACCCCGCCAGCACAAAAGGTTTTGCCTGTGGGCAGCCAAATCGCCAAGACAACCCGCCTCCCATCCACCCTCGCCCAAATGCTTTCCCAGGCCTCCCTACGTCCTCATATACACCTACGAACGCCAAAAATATGCAAAAGAAGTGGGGCTCCTCCCGGGATCGAACCGGGGACCTCCTGCAGCCGGTATCTGCTCGTCGTCGCTGATGAGGCGATGATTGAGAACCCAAAGCAGGAATCATACCACTAGACCAAGAAGCCTTGTATGAGCGAGCTGATTGCTCTGATTGATGGAAGACAGCACGGTCAAGGGAACATATGAACCTCAGCAACATTGCTCGGCTGCGTGGGACAGAACGGCGACGGATGGGTGGGACCCTAACTTAGCGCTTCCAAAGCCTTGCGTGGGTGGGGCCGCTCAGCGCGTCTGATTATTTCGAGCGCGTCCTGCGAGGACAGCCTGCACGCAGCAGAGAAGGCACTCGGTGCTATGTGCAGAATGCTGTCGTCAACTTCAGATGAGAAAAGGATCCGGTCATTCCGCAGGTGTCTGGCTGATTGCAAGCAACGGCATGAAAGACTACGCGTGGAGCTACATTGCATTCATACTCGAGAGCACGCCGATCTACAGACAATCGCCATACGGGCACGTCTATCTACTGCATACTAATGTGTATGCTCTTGGACTCCAGATATTGCATGATACCCTCTCTGCCACCTTCTCTCCCATTCCCGGACTGTTTCTTGCCACCAAACGGAGTCACCATGACCGGCAACACTGTCTTGTTGACGGCGACCGTTCCGGCTTCGAGCTCTCCACTGACACGCAAAGCTCGCTTGATGTCATTAGTGAAGACGCATGCAGCAAGACCATAGGTGGTATCGTTGGCCAGCTCTATGGCCTCCTCTTCAGTCTTGAAAGTCTTGATCGCCAGAATGGGGCCGAATATCTCATCCTTGTATACGGAACTGTCCTTGGGCGGATCCATCAGGATTGTCGGCTGGACATAGAAGCCTTTGTCTCCATGACGGTCTCCACCAGCCAGGACTTTGACCCCATCTTTCTTACCTTGTTCGAGGAAATCCATGACGCGATCGTACTGTATCTCATCGACCAGAGGTCCGACTTGAGTGGTAGGCTCTGTTGGGTCACCATATGCAGCTGTGGCGCCTTCGAACCGAGCTTTCAACTGTTCGATGAATTTGTCGGCAAGAGTGTCTTGGACAAGGAGTCTGGTCGTGGCGCAGCAAACCTGACCGGAGTTGAGCAGGAACCACTGGCTCATGTAGGCAAGGGTAGTCTCCATGTCAGCATCTTCGAAGACAAGAGCGGGAGATTTGCCACCGAGCTCGAGGGTGCAGCGCTTCAAGTTACTGGTCGCGGCTGCGATCTGGACCTTCTTTCCAGTCGATGCTGAACCTGTGAAGCTGATCTTGGCAATCTTCATGTGAGAGGCGAGCGCGTGGCCAGTCGCGGCTCCACCACTGATGAAGTTTATGACTCCAGGTGGGAAGCTAGCTTCTTTGACCATTTCACCCAAAGCAAGCGCAGCAAGGGGTGACTTTTCCGAGGCCTTGAATATGAAGGTATTGCCGGCGGCGATTGCAGGCGCCATCTTCCATACTGTGGACGTGTGTGAGTAAGTGGACTTCACGGCCTTGTAAGTGTTTAAAATACCAGTGTATAACAGGGTTACGTTCCATTACGCGATACCAGCACAAACCCCAATCGGATCGTAGCGAATGAGCTTGTAAATGCCATCACCGTCATCAGGATACACCTCCCCAGCAATCTTGTCAGTCCACCCAGCATAGTACCTCCACCAAGCCGGCCACCCCGATGCAAGCATTTGTCCCAGTTGGATTGGCATACCCATCGAGATCGCTTCAAGCTTAGATAGCTTTTCGACATTCTTCTCAAGGATGTCGGCCAGGTTGTTCATGAGCCTAGCACGTTCTTGTGGAGGGGTATTCCGCCATGTCTTGAATGCAGTGGCTGCTGCTTCGACTGCAAGGTCCACATCTTCTACGCCCGCAACGTGAACGTCTTCAGTCACAACAGACGCATCCTTTGGATTTTTGATGGTGATCCTCTCATTGGACTTTGATGCCACATACTGATTGTGTCAATTCTGATGCAATGAATGATACAGGTGTTAGGTACTGTCTACACACCTCATTGTTGATGAAAAGACGGCCTTCGTAACTTGGTGCCATGATGGTTGAATTGAAATATTTGATTACTTTGTTCGATATGTCATACAAGACCGATAGCTCCCTCCCAGCATCTTTATACTATTCACTTGCTGCGGACCAAGTCCAACCCGACGAGACGACAGTCTGACTGTGTAATCTCTGTCAGACGAACAGGGACCGACAGTCAACATTAGTCTACCTCCTTTCCAACGTTTGAATATCAGCGAAACTCTTCCGGCACAGTCAGCGAAATCATTCGGCCAAGCCAGAAAGCTCTCGGACGACTTGGCTCTGTTCCCATTCATAGTCTCGAGGGTCATGTACAGACTGTCTTTGACGGCATTCGTGTAATATCTCACGACGTGCAGCCAAGGTCAGCGCCAAGCGCACCGCTTTCCAACTGCTAGCGCACACCATGTTTCCCAAGCTGACAGATTTGGGTTACGAGAAGGTACCTGAGATTACAAAGAATGCAACCTATTCCGCGCCCTACGCCCTACGCCTTACGATTCCCGCTCAGTATGTTACTTATCCGTAGGTTAGTGATTAACCAGACATGGTGCTGTACTGCTTGAGTCATGCATAGCAGTCGGTCCCTACAAACCACAAATTCTCTCGAGTCATGCTTCCGCCAGATTCACGCAGGCGCAACCGAAGCACACGCACGCCATCCGTTTGCGGCGGCCTTGCTAACTTGTCAGAGTTAGAGCTATGAACGGAAGGAGCGAGGCGCGTACCTTCTAATTTACATCTATACATCGCAAGAACGTGTCTGGAGTTTTGCAATCCCGGGAAAGACTTCCCCATGAGCCGGCGTACGAATTTATACGTGGGTCAAGATTTCTGTCTTTCCCTCTATCTGATGGCCTGATTCGGGTCTCGATGGTGGCACACACGTCTGGATGTCTGTTTTCATGTCTTATTGACGGGTGGTGTGGGCGAGTCGACGCGACGCGACCCGACTCTCGAGGCAGGAGCACAGGATCTCATCACAAACAGACCGTAGAGATCAACAAGACTTCAAGGTAACTAACTTAGTCGTGTTGAGTATAACATGAACGTATTTCATCATGTCTGAGTGATAGATACTCTGCAGCAACTTGTGGGCCGTTGGCCAAGACTGAGATGATACAGCAGGGGGACAAATCGTCGTGTTCCTTCAGGATAGTGCAAGCCTTGGGAAGGAACTCCCATTGGCTTTTTAGCGCTATGTCGAATGCACAGATTAATGTGCACTCTCCTAAGAGGGCAGAACGATCTGTCCCTCTATTGTATAAGTAAGGTCCTTTAAGGGTAGGCCAGACTATCGCCAGCACTGACACTTGTGAAGGCCGCCATCAAGATACCTGCCAAGCCGCGCCAATGCAGGTACCGGCGCAGGGGGGCGGATGATCTTGTATCAACTGAGGGAAGACAGGATTGGACGCCCCCCACTTATAGACGCTAGTGAAGACCAAATGGCGCTATGATCTCAGTCCCTTTCAACCCTACCTACATACATAATCAGCACCAAAGCACCGTTCTAATCACGAAGCCCAATGCTTCGAAAGTATGTCAGGACCGCCTCACTACGGTCTTACTCACTACAAGCTGCCGAAGAGGAAACGCGACGCTCCTAAGGGTACTTATACCCCTATAACCACCGCTACACGAACGGAGATCCACTTATATCGAGATCGACTTCATAAAAGCCATACGGAACTATCTAACATCTTCAACTTACCACGTACGACTGTACGGGGGATTCTTTCAAGGCCCCCATCTTTCGAAAACCGTCAAAGAGGCAGGCCTCGTAAAAATCTAAACCCCGCCCAGCAGCAGCAGCAGCAGCAGCAGCAGCAGCAGCAGCAGCAGGAGCAGCAGGCCCTGCCAGAATTTACCATGCCCGCCTCAAGAACACCCACAATCGCCGTCATCGGCTCCTTGAACGTCGACTTCATCACCCGCACACCACGCGTGCCAGAAGGCGGCGAAACACTAACCGCAAACTCCTTCGACACAGGCTTCGGCGGCAAAGGCGCCAACCAAGCCGTCGCCTGCGCGCGGCTCTCCCGCCGCAAAGACGCACCTGCAGATTCCGCAGAGGTGAAAGTATGCATGGTCGGCTCCGTGGGCGAGGACTCGTTCGGTAGCGACTTCATTGCGGCCTTGCAGGAGGATGGCTTGGATACGAGCCACGTGAAGAAGGTGGCGGGGCAGAAGACGGGGATTGCGAATATTATTGTTGAGGAGGGGAGTGGCGAGAACAGGATCTTGCTTGCGACCAACGCCAATCATGCTAGTGGGGATGAATTGAGGGATTTGGTGCCCATCGAGGCTGATGTGGTCGTGTTTCAGTTGGAGATCCCGATTCCGCTTGTTGTGCATAATATTAAGCTTGCGCATCAGATGGGGAAATATGTGAGTTCGTGCGCTGAGAAGGGGCCTTGAATAAAGCGCTGACGTGGAGATACAGGTGATACTGAATCCGGCACCGGCGGTGACGCTGCCGCAGGATGTCTACTCCTCAATTGACTGCCTGATCATGAACGAGAGCGAGACGGCGCTTTTGCATGGCGGCGGCGATGTCGAGACAGACCCGGAGGTTCTAGAAGGCATTGCCCGCGACTTCTTCAGACTTGGCGTACAAGATTCTGTGGTAGTCACGCTAGGCGGCAAGGTATGAGAGAATGGAGATGGTACTGTAATCCGAGGGCAGTATGCTAATATCACCTCACAGGGCGTTTGGTATGCTGCCAAGTCGAGTTTCGACAACACCTTCCGGGACACTGCACACGTACCTTCCCGAAAAGTCAACGTGGTGGACACCACGGCGGCGGGAGACACCTTTGTTGGAGCAGTAGCGGTTGAGCTTGCAAAGCTTGGAGGCATTTCACCCGAGTCTCTGAGCTTTACTATCGAATTTGCTAATATCGCGGCTGCAAAAACAGTAGAGAAGGCAGGCGCCATGGCCGCGATACCGTGGCTCAACGAAGTAGAGCGACCCCGTGACATGAAGGATTAGAGATTATGTAACGACACAAAGTCAGTCACAACGACTATTGGAAGGGGCTATTGAGCCTTCA